AATCTTTTAAGACGTGTGGAGTAAATACTGCAAAGATGATGGTTAAAGACAGGGGTGGGATTCAAACATTTTAACAACCGGTTCTGTGGGCGTGGCTTGGGTGGTGGTCGTGGCTTGGTGCTCATGTTACTGGGTGGACATGACTTGGTGGTCATGTTATTGGCTGGGTGTGGCCAACTCAATATCACTCACATTGAGGCACGCATCTCCTCGCCTGGCCTCTCATGACTGTGGGGATGCTGCAAGTGTGAAAAATGGTCATAAGTCACTTTTTTCAGTGCCATTGTGACTTTGAATGGTCACTCCCTACACAAGCAAAGTACCAGCAAAGGAGGGGAAAAAATCTCCAGAGACGTTCCTGAGACAGGAAGTTCAGTCCTGCCAAGAATGTAATGAGGGTTAACGGAGGGGCAGTTTCTGTAAGCAACACCAGAATGTTCCCTTCCTGCCTTCCTTACAGGATTAGCCCAGTAATTTCTTCCAACAACCGGTTCTCCGAACTGCTAAGAATGTTAACAACCGGTTCTAGCGAATAGGTGCGAACCTGTAGAATCCCACCTCTGGTTAAAGAAAGGATAGAGATTCCACATGAAGAAGTGTTATAGGAGTTAAGATATATAGTGATTAATTTTGATAAAATGGGGAAAATGGGGAATCAATACTTTTTACTCAATAGTTATTATTCAACTGTGCCTGGCTGGGGAATTCTGGGAGATGAAGTCCACACGTCTTAAAAAGTTGCCAAGTTTTGGAGACCGCTGCTGTGTTCGGGCCTCAAAGTAGAAAGCAGGAGACCGGATTTGGGAATCCCACCTTAGCCATGATGGGTGCCTTTGGGCCATTCACTCTCTCCCTCGGGGTGGTTGTTGTGGGCGAAAGAGGAGGAGGAAGGTGTGCTGAATATATTGAGTTATTTGTAAAAAAAAAACAACCACAATGAAGGGATACAAAAAAAAAATGAAATGAATAAAGAGCTGCCTTCCGCAACAGTCTCAACTTTCTTACGTGGGAGGAAATTAATTGCCCACACCTGACCTGCAAGAACAGTGTTCTGTCCCAAACCTGGTTCCCAGAGAGCAAACGCGAGACAAAGGTAACAGCACAACCTTTTACTGTTTCATTTACGAATCCTGTTTCTTCACAGATAAAAGGCTGCTTCCAACTAATTAGCTCTGACAAGAAAGAGCCTTGCCAAGTTTTTGCAAGGCTGCCAAGAACAACAGATAAAGTTCCTAAACAATAAATCAAAGAGTCTCCAAACACCAACTAAGATATTCCGAACGTCCACCAGGCTTGAGTGCAAAAACTTCTTTGCTTCCCGCACAGAACTCCGGTTTCTCAGCTGGCTTTTATCTCTTACGGGAGGGGCCATTACCTTGCAGCCTTACTCCCAAGTCACCTGTGCTGCTGCAGCTGCTCTTTCCTTCGAGCAGCCCTGCGTGCATGCGCACTGGACACAGGCTCCTCGGGGGCCTCTTCCTCACTGCTGCCAGCCTCCACAATCTCCGAAGGCAGCACTCCACTCCCTGATCGTCCTGGCCCCATCCCTGCATCACACGCAGGCCCCTCGTCTGAGACCTCACTCTCCGAGACCTCAGCCGTCCACACCTGCTGCCGGCGAACCACAACAAACAGGCACCTGAGCATGGAGACGGGTTGTGTACCTGTGTTCCATGTAAGAGCTGAGGGGCTCAACACACGTTGTGACTGCGCCAATCGCAAAGGAGGCCTTCACGTCTACGTCCGGGTGAGTCTGAAGGGCCTGGACAACGTCAATCACGTCAGTGTATCTGCAGAGAATAGAATAGAATTTAGTTTACTTTATTGTCATTGCACCTCGTACAGTGAAATTAAATGCCACCTTCAGTGTACATTATGACTATGAAAATGAACACAAACACATATCCTTCGCATTCTGTACATTGAATTGAAAACCCCTGATATTGCATTAATATTGCCTATATAGTAGAGTTCAATAGAGTTACTGCCCTGGGATAGAAGCTGTTTTTCTGCCTATTTTTCTCTTTGTTTTTATTATTATCCTGAACCATCTACCAGATGGTAATAGTTCAAAAAAAGGGTGCCCAGGATGAGATGGATCTTTGAGGATGTTTTGAACTTTCTTAAGGCAGCGGGAGCTATAAAGCTCTTCCAAAGAGGGGAGAGGGCAACCAATTGATCCTCTGGGCAATGACGTTCACCCTCTGGAGCGCTTTCCTATCTGCCCCTGTGCAATTGGCAAACCATACAGAGGTGCAGTAAGTTAAGATGCTCTCTATGGTGCAGCGGTAGAAGGTCACCAGTTTTCCATTCAGTTGTTGTTTCCTGAGAAGTCTCAGGTAGTCTAATCTCTGCTGGGCCCTTTAATTCTTTATTGGCCAAGTGTGATTGGGCACACAAGGAATTTGTCTTTGGTGCAAATGCTCTCGGTGTACATAAAAAGAAAAGATACATTCGTCAAGAGTCATAAGGTACAACAATAAGAGTCATAGCGTACAGTAAGAATAGAATAGAATAGAATAGAATAGAATAGAATAGAATAGAATAGAATAGAATAGAATAGAATAGAA